GGCCGAGACCCCAAATAAGTCGCCTCATACGAACATGCGGTGGGATACAGCAGGTCTAATGTTTCCCTGAACATGCACGGCCTATAATGGCATATTTATCATAAACTGAAACTCATCGACATAATTTCTATCAATCATCAACCAGGTGATAAAACAGAAGGATATCTGTAAAAATAGGGTTACATAAGGTAAAGTCAGCAAAATAGTGAAAATGACTTCGCTATTGAATAAAAAGTTACTTAACTGTGTATCGTACAAAAACGAACATAAATAAGATTTACGTATCTTAACAAAAAATGTTCTGTTACTAGTATGATGTTTCTCATCGAAAGTGAGCGTAACCCCTGGATATCGAGGATGGTGTTTCTACGTATTAACCGACACATATTTGAGACTACTTCATCTTTCCAATTTGTCTCCAATCTTTAACTTCCCCTGTCAGGTAACCTATCAATCTCCACACCTATTGTGCATTACTTTGTAGTTTATACATCAAAGTATACGGTCCAATGTGTTCTCTCATTGGTGAAGACATCACACAGGAATTCTTTGGTAAAATTAACTCTACCCTGCTGAATATGATATGAAGATCACGGAGTTATTCTAGTAACACTGACTTATCCTTCCTTTATTTACATGTCTAAAAGAATTAGGGCACCAATGGCAATGATTTATTAAAACTCACTCGAAATATAGAAGCATAAAAAAGAAAACGATTCCATTGATACGGTGAAGGATGAACAGGTTAAATGAGGGATTATTAATTGTCAGTCGGTATATCTCGTTAAGATTGGGTTCTGTTAAAACACGGATAATATACTACAGGTAAATACAATGTTGTCTTTAGAAAAAATATCTTCAACAATGAAAATGTGTATCGCAGTTTACTACAGAATGTTAAAAATACTCCAGTCTGACCGACTTCTTTTGTCAGTACCATTCCATAGAAGGTAAAATTGTATCCCTGTTACTGTTAAATAATTCTAAATCATCGCTCACATTTCAAGTATTCAGACGATAAATATAACAGAACAATTTCTGTCCTTGCGAAAGGGTTCAGTACATCCGTGTTGGGAATGATTTATTACAGTTTTCCATGACCCTGTAGTATGGATTCAGAGGTCCCTGTGTGAGACAGGTTCCATTTTGTGGAATCAAAATGTTTCTGGTCCAAGTGCAAGATAAATACCGTTTCAGTGTTCAACAGAATTGTTTCTAGACCATGTGCAAGATTAAAAAACCGTTTTGGAACATTGTGTCTCGTGCAGTGCAAGATAAATACCGTTATTGTACAAGAACGCTCAATTATGAAATAATGATAACTATGAAACTCATACTATTTTTGCAATATTTAAATATTTTCCTAAACTGAGAAACACGCCCTATTTCTGATGGGTCTTTTATGCGGAGAACACCTGCACAATTGTGTGGTTCGTTCTAAATTAACATTGAGATACGATCTCGCGACGTTCACTGTCGTGTATATAACGACTACTGACAAACCGTACACATACAGACGTAAAACCAATACAAAATTGTATTTCAATTTAATTATGGAAATGTTACTGATTAATGAACTCCGATAAAAATGCTTAAACTGCTACGTCTAACTAACCTGTTATGTAGACGGGTACTTACGCGTAGAGTGTGGTTTTGGTACGCCCAGGCTTCATAGTTCCTCTACCTGTCGCAGGTAACTTCTTGTGCACGTGTGTCTTCTATCTAAAAGGGTGTTTATCTGATCCAAATTACGTCCGTTCAGTTAACGGTTCATCTTCAATACCTTAAGATCTACTACAGAACTAACGCGCCCCTTCCTTCACCGATCTATATGTTACTGGCCGATACTGTACCGTATCCATTAGTTGTATTACCCCGCGATTATCCCCATTTTGATAAAAAGTCATCCTAACACTCGGTAAACAAATCTTACTTTCAAATAATATGTGTAACGTCATTGATTATTTTTATACTTATTTCAAAAAGAAAAAGATGTCTCGCCTCCGCCGATTTCCGTTCCGATTTAATAGACGATTTTCCGCTTTATTGGAAACAAATCGCCACTGTTCAACGCCTGGTTAGATTAACGCTTCTACATATATACAAACTCTGATATTTTGTCAGGTATAAATTTGAATGAGATGGTTTTGATTCAGGTATCACAAGGATATTGTTGTAGTTTAAACATCTCTAAATTCCTCCATTGGTACATTATACGATAGTCCGTATTGAGTACAAGCTGACAGGACTGCTGGTCTGTCAGCTCTGGGATAACCCTGGTCCCTTCATCTGTAATGTAAACACGTGTATACACGTAACACGAATCATAACATACGGGCTTCCTTCATCTGTTATGTAAACACGCGTATCGGAGTCACGAAGATCTAGAAATGATGACTTAACCTTTACGCTAGATCTTATCCTATACATTTAAAGTTTAATGGATTCCGCAATAATAAAGCTAAACCTTAAATATTATTACAAGGCGGAAATCCTTTCAACCAAACTGTCAAACAGTCTATATAATGTCGTGTTTTGTCAAATTGCATATAACCGTATTCGCCTTGACAAATGAACATTTTTAAAGTGCAATGTTCCAAATGTCGCTAATTTGCTGTTAACCTGTATTCGGTGATACTGATGTTGGAAAAGGGAACGGAGTAAATCGATATTTTATTGCGTAGGAACGCAATATAATTTATGGAAAAGAAATATCGCTACTTCAATGAAGCTTGGTAGAATGTTTTCACATTTTATCCTCGTCCACCTCTCCATCCGTGTCTCCACTGGCTATCCTCGTCCACCTCTCCATCCGTGTCTCCACTGGCTATCCTCGTCCACCTCTCCATCCGTGCCTCCACTGGCTATCCTCGTCCACCTCTCCATCCGTGTCTCCACTGGCTATCCTCGTCCACCTCTCCATCCGTGTCTCCACTGGCTATCTTCGTCCATCTCTCCATTCGTATCTCCACTGGCTATCCTCGTCCTCCTCGCCATCCATGTCTCCACTGGCTATCTTCGTCCATCTCTCCATTCGTGTCTCCATTGGCTATCCTCGTCCACCTCTCCATCCGTGTCTCCACTGGCTATCCTCGTCCACCTCTCCATCCGTGTCTCCACTGGCTATCTTCGTCCATTTCTCCATCCGTGTCATAACTAGCTATCCCTGTCCACCTCTCCATCTGTGTCTCCACTGGCTATCCTCGTCCTTTTCTCCATCCGTGTCTCCACTGGCTATCCTCGTCCTTTTCTCCATCCGTGTCATAACTAGCTATCCCTGTTCACCTCTCCATCTGTGTCTCCACTGGCTATCTTTGTCATTTTCTCCATCTGTGTCTCCACTGGCTATCCTCGTCCTTTTCTCCATCTGTGTCTCCACTGGCTATCCTCGTCCACCTCTCCGTCCGTGTCTCCACTGGCTATCCTCGTCCTTTTCTCCATCCGTGTCTCCACTGGCTATCCCCGTCCACTTCTCCATCCAGGTTCGGGTATCCCACTGTAACAGGAAAGGGGAAAATGCGCGGCCAGACCGGGGTTCGAAACCAAGATCCTCCAAACTCTAGACGGCGCTAGAGCACTCTACTCTGTATATTGAGCTACCTGGTTGCCGGCGATCGACCTAGTCCACTTCCCGGCGTTACAATATGGTATATATATTATAATTGAAAACTAGATAATAATTATTATTATTATTTTTATATTATTCCCGGCAAGAGATTGGAGAGGAGTGCATCACGTGTCCACCGATAAAAACCGATATTGACTTGGAGCGCGTGATTTTTGTTGAAGGACGGGGTGTTTCTAGAAATGGAATTATAACGTGTCTCCAAACGAACGCATCGTCCCGCTTCCTTAGATTTTTGCTGTGATTTTTTTTTTCAGATTGCTAACATTACTCTTTTGAAAATAATAAAACAATTGTAGCCTTTGACTTCGGTCGATACCTGGATTTATCGACCCGAGAAAAGATATATTGACCTCGGACTGCGTCCTCTGTTAATACATGTATATCTTTTCTCGGGTTGTTAAATCCAGGTATCGACCTCAGCCAAAGGCTATAATTGAATACAATTATCTTTTTATGTCAGGTCAGATAATTTCGAATTAATCAATAAATGTGTCAACAAATCAGTTATAACAATGATGTAATCTTAGATAAGATAGCCATGCACCCTTTTTTGTCTAAAGATGATTATTTTTTAAGTTCAAATTGCACAAGAAAACTTAATTCAAATTCAAATGTCAGTGTTTTGATTACGTTTTTTTTTTAAATGGCGCGTGCGATGACTATGCATTCTGTTTTGGAATATAGGAATAAATTCACACTATAGAACTACTTTTTGTCATATAAATCCTAAAGGTCATCATAAAAAGTTAATATGCTGACAAAAAAACATTCATTTGAAGCGTAAGGTACTGCAAAATTCAAGCCTTGATCCGATGGGGTTCCCGACATTCGCAAAAACCGGAGACGCTGATTGGTGACTTCAAAACGTTCTATTAATATCTCAAGTGAGCCCCCGAGTGCTAATTTCGTTTGTAAGAACTTTCATCGATATTCTTCCTTTGATACAACCATAAATGGATATAATTCCTCCTCAGATTTTTCAATGACTTAATAAAATGATGGTATAATTGGTGATCCGATTTGGGTACTGTCACCTTATATATATGTGTGTTTCGGAAACTCACACTCTAGTACAAAATCATGTAGATCTAAGTAGGTACGCAAGGTTCCATTATAAGATTTGAAATATTGTTTGATTACGTGTACATTGAATAAATATTAAGTCATTATAAAGTCGAAATCAAACCTGACATACAAAACCGTAAAAAAATGTCCCGTTTATTGTTAAAAAAAGAATAATGGTTGAATATAAAAGCGTTTCTTCATTACATTGATTGTTCGTTGCAACGGAGTTATCGTTCTTGTATAACAAGTTTCCGGACTTTGACGTACCGATTCAGTCCCTAACAAATTCGTTTAGATCGATCGTATCGATGTAACGGAAGTTCTGACAAAGGGATGCTGGAAACTTAAGTTTGGTTTTGTTGGTATTTTGACGAGTTTGCAAAGCACTGAAGTGTTTGGTAAGGCTAACATTTCCTTTAAGATGCGTTTTCGTTATGCAGGTTTTAGCGAATGTGCACCAAGTTGATTGTTACAGCATGTTGTAAACTTTCGTCCTGTCCGCCATCACTGACATGATATAGATTACCATCACTTTCCCGACCTGGCCCCAAGGTCTAGTGTTGTTATACTTCGTAAACAACTGGTGTTTTAAAAGTATCAGAAAAATATTGATCCATTGCATGTCCGTTACTTAGAAAACATATATAATTTCTCGAAGTTTCAAGAGCTACTTCAAAAAGAAAACGATTAGTTATAAATCTGTACTGTAGAGTTAATGAAATTTGACACCCTCCGCTCGTTCCAGGTACAGAACACAGAACATTTGTAATAATGGCGGTTAAATATGTATATAAGCACCAAAAAATACCAATTTTGATACTCAGTTAAATTATTCTTTCAAATGTAAACTCATATTTTTTGTGTTAATTAACAAATAACCATCTTTCTAAACATGTTACAAGAGATTTGTACATGTTACTTTTGGCTTGTTTATAATAAATTCACCTGTAAGTTGTGTTTTTGCTAACAAAACTGACGTTTATAAGACCTGTTTATTTGGGGACAGTTCATGTATACATTGTAAGTTATTATTCCAGGTGTACGCTTAATCAAGCCTCTTTGACAAAAAATACTAAGCTGTGCTCTCAAAAGTGTGACGGTCATCGCTGAACTTGCCTCTGGAAAAAACCCAGGACAGGTTTTTTTTTCTGGAAGTAGAGTTTGTCACCCTGGTAAAATAATGGTCATTTCCTACCAACACGGATGGAGCAAACTTCTCTTTATATTAGCTCCCTTGGTAGAGCATCCGACTAGTAACCTAGAGGTCCCAGGTTTTATCCTTACTTAGCATTGACATAATAAGATATTAATATATGTTGTATATATATATATAAAACAAAAACGTGATAAATGTCTGATGGAATTCATTTTTGTAATTTACAGATTTACACTTGCTATGCTGTACCAACGAAATAGCCTGACATCCGTCATGTAGATCACATAACAGACTCGGACCAATTCCTGAAGAATCTCTCAGGATGGATTCTGTAATCAAATTGGTAGGTACTGAAATCGTGGGCTGTGAAACCTGTGTTTACATATATATGTATATATAGATTTAATGTGTAGCAGTAATATAAACAGAAATGATGATTAATATATATAACAAAGAAAATGTGTAACTTAAATATAATGATGAATATTTATATATAGACATGATCATGATGAACCTGTCACAACTGACCAGGTCCAGTCACACCAGATATTTCAGCTCATGACAAGGTGAAAATTATAACCTGATCTAGTCATTAACAGTTTTTTTCACATGTACATGATATTCGGCAACTTGTCCAAATATGACTAGCTTTTAAGTGAAAAAGTCAAATAACATGATCTCATATCATGCCCATTGCATGATTTTTTTGTCACGTGGCAATTGCAACAGTCATGCTACATTGGTGTTTTGACTTGGAGAGAGATCTTTTTTCTAAGTTTAACTCGTATAAGAGGAGACATTGCCTACCACCAGATATTTATATAAGTAGCTAATAGGTAAAATTCTGTAACATTTCTTGTTAAGGAGATGCCAGAAATGTTATTAAGCATAAATACAATCATGGCCAGGTATGCGACAGTCAGGCGAGTATGGTTTAACTTTAACATGTCATTACAGTGTTCGGAGCTCTCAAGTGCAGGAGAAGAGTATGTTCTGCTGACCGCTGGAAATGAAGGCAACCAGAAGCAGTTTGGGTCTGTCAAGGGGAGACAATTCCTACAGGTCAATCAGGACTTGGCTCAGCGTTTCTTCAGTTACTGTTACAGTAAGAGCTGAAACTTTGTGAATGGTTTACTACGTTTATATAATTAGTAATTAAATATAAAAGGAAACTAAATATATGATATTAGGACAGTTTTCTAAAACTTTCAAAAAATGTGGTCACCATAATTATGAATGTCATAGGATAAATGTACGCCACTGTTAAATCATCTGGAGGTGTTTGACAGTATACATACCAGTCATAAGTTTCTGGAAGTGTGAAGGGACAGTCATGATGATTTAGAGGGGTTTACGATATATAAGGGGGACAGTTATTTTTAAAGGTAGAGACAATGCCTAGGATACTTTGTAGTATAAATTATATTTGAAATCATCCATTGTGAACATTGATTTTAGTTCTCTGACACAAAGTGACAACGAGCGATGAGCTTATAAATGCCCTGTGGTGTGTTTGTCTGTCAATAAATAAAATAAATAAAAAAATATACAACATTTGATATAGCGCCCTATCTAGCTAATATACGCCACTCTAAAGCGCATTACAGTACATAGATATATAGTTAATATAATTAGCATATATATTAATCAATACAATTTTGAGGAATTCGCAGGAGCTGCCTTATCAGGCGCTAACTTCTAGTCCTATGCCACCTGGCTAATATCTCCCTATGTGTGTATGCCTTCGTGTGTGCTGGAGATGTGTGTGAATGAAATTTTAAGTCCCTCTGCCACAAATGTTAATGTCATGGTGTGATGTCTATCTGTCATCAACTTTGTCTTTAAAAGAAACCTCTTAAAAATGACTAGTCCAAAAAAGCTAAAGGGATTTGGACTAAATATTTTATTGAACATCCCTGAATCAAGATGGTACATTGCTGTACAATTAATAAAGAATATAACTAACCTGTCCCACCCCCTCCTCTGGTGAGGTGATTTTAGTTAAAGTTGTAGAGAAACTTATCCAGACTTGGTATAATCCTCTCAACATGTTATATTGTGAACAGGACAGTCTGACCACTCACCAATCTCTTAGTTATTCTATCTCTTACTATGAAATATTTAGAAAGGAAGATGCTATTTGATAATTTTTCAGAAATTAGTTGAAACGATCATTTTTCCTGTTTTAGATGCTGCCAGTACGTCTATGTATATGGGAGGCCAGAGCTACGGTCATGCTATGGAGGTGGTATCCATGTCTGCCAACAGAAACTCGGCCCTCCCTTTAGGTCACTCCCACCATCCTGTCAGTGACAGTACAGCCAACAGAAACTCGACCCTCCCTTTAGGTCACTCCCACCATCCTGTCAGTGACAGCACAGCCAACAGAAACTCGGCCCTCCCTTTAGGTCACTCCCACCATCCTGTCAGTGACAGCACAGCCAACAGAAACTCGGCCCTCCCTTTAGGTCACTCCCACCATCCTGTCAGTGACAGCACAGCCAACAGAAACTCGGCCCTCCCTTTAGGTCACTCCCACCATCCTGTCAGTGACAGCACAGCCAACAGAAACTCGGCCCTCCCTTTAGGTCACTCCCACCATCCTGTCAGTGACAGCACAGCCAACAGAAACTCGGCCCTCCCTTTAGGTCACTCCCACCATCCTGTCAGTGACAGCACAGCCAACAGAAACTCGGCCCTCCCTTTAGGTCACTCCCACCATCCTGTCAGTGACAGCACAGCCAACAGAAACTCGGCCCTCCCTTTAGGTCACTCCCACCATCCTGTCAGTGATAGTGCGGCCAGTACCATCGCAGGAGCTCTTCAATCTTTGGCGGCAGAATTCCAAATGGGGCGACCTCAAAATTCTGCTATGATGCCGATGGGGTCTAGTGGAATAGGTGTAGGTGAGGGACATCAGGACTTTGAGATGACATCTCAGGATCGGGATGTGATGTCAACCTATATGGGTAATGTCTCCTACGGTAGCCATCATTCAAATATGAATATTGGAAATATGAGCAATATGAATCATTCAGATATTTGTGTTCAAAATACAAACACCCATGCTAATGATTATTTGATCAGAACTAATATCGGAAATGAAAATTTCACTGCCCAACCAATGAACAGGGAAAGTTTGATCCCAAATTTGAATGAAAATAATTCCAAATCTCAGGAGGATTTCACTGGAAACCAAAAGGAAAATACAAAATTTGTTGAAAATGGAAGCGAAAATGCAAACTTTGTTGAAAACCAAAACAAATGCACAAGTTTTTCTGAAAATCAAACTTCTAATCCAGATTTTGATTCTAAATCAGAAACCAAAATAACATTTGAAGATGATCATAAAAAGCAGATTACTGATGAGACAGGCTTGTCGAATAATCAGGAAAAAACAGCTTCAGCAAGTGGTGAAAAGAGTCTGGCCTATGTCTCAGAAAAACACAAGGTTGTGACAGCAAGCCTTCCTAAAGAAAAACATTTTGATGACTCGGATGACAGTAACTTCAGTATTGGCTTCGAGACAGACTTCAACCTCCGTGATCATCAAGACGATTTAAAATTGGTCATCAGCAATGTTGTTTCCACTTTAGACCGTGAAAATAATGCGGACATTAAAAATGAAGTTCAAGATGGAAAACCACAGGTCAATAAAAATGCCAACTACAGGAGGAAAAAGTCGAGAAAACAGAGAAAAGATGTGACGGAGACACGACAATCAAGGACAAGAAAAGAGAAACAGTTTATCGCAGAAGAAAGTGATGATATGGAATCTGATATTGACAAAATCAACAGTGAAGATGACGATTATGCTTTATCTGACGGTATCGATAGTGAGGCTACGATCGTGTCTGATGGGGAAAACAATGAAACTTCCTGTTTGCGTGGCGCTGCGAAACGTAAAGCAGCCTTTCAGTGTCATCGTTGTGGTGTTTGCCATAAAACATTCGCAAATTCTTCAAATTTACGTCGCCATGAAAAGTCTCACGGTGTACAGGGGGACCAGCGTCGGTGTGTGAAGTGCAATGAGTTTGTTCTTATTAACGATATGAAGCGCCATTTGAGAGCAAAACATGCCAACGATAACAAGAAACAGAAATTACACTGTAAAGATTGTGGAAAGGTCTGCATGTCGAAATCACTCCTACGTCAACACGTCTCCAAGGCACACGGCGAGGTGAAGTTCAAGTGTGACAAGTGCCACAAAGTATTCATGTCGGAGGACGCATTCAAAAGTCACATGGTAAAACACTTACAGAAACACGTGTGTGGAGTCTGTCAGCAGACCTTTGCCACACAGGCTGGTCTAGCTCAGCATTCCTCCGACACACATCACGTCGACATACAGTGTGAAGTTCAGAAGTGCAGTTTGTGTGGCCGGAGACGGGGACAACAACACAAGTGTCCCGGGAAGAAAATTAAAGTGCAAAGGGAGTTCATCTGTCTGGTCTGTAACAAACACTTCTCACGGATACAGAACCTGAATCTCCATCGGAGAATACACAATGATAACAGAACCAAGCTGAAGTGTGAGCTGTGCGACAAGTTATTTTCTGATCGGTGTAGTTTGAAAAAACATGTTCGGTATGTTCACAGTGCCGAGAGAAACTTTGTGTGCGACGTTTGTGGGAAATCCTTCAAACAGAACGATACCTTGAAGAACCATGTCAGGATTCACGCTGAGGAGAAAACCGATGAATTTAAATGTGGGCTTTGTTCTAAGTTACTCTCCAGTAAGTCGGCATTGAATGTGCACTACCGCTCGCACACCGGAGCGAAACCTTACATGTGTGAAATATGTGGCATGTCCTTCCGTCAGGTGGCCAACATGCGAAAGCACATGTTGATACACACCACCGCCAAGGCTAACCAGTGTGAACTCTGTGGCAAGGAGTACAAGTACCGCGACTCGTGGAAGGCCCACATGAGGAGTCACGTCATCAAAGAGGGTCTGCGACGAGAGGTCATCAAAACCAAGTACGGGAAGGTTTATAACTGTGAATACTGCCAGAAACAGTTCTCCACAGCGTCACAGTACAAAGTTCACATCCGCACACACACGGACGAACGACCGTTCAAGTGTGACATGTGTGAGAAAGCATTCAAGGAGAAAGGGAAGCTGAGTCGCCATGTGAATCGCGTCCATTCTCAGATGTTGTCGATGCATCCTCATCAGAAGGTATCAATGGACAGTCGTATAGTAATACCGGTACCCAATGACCACATCATGTACTACACTGGGGCCGTGGCTGGGGTGTAGTAATACTGGTTCTATACAGGAACTCGAGCAAATCAAACATTTTTGTTTTATGTGGGACAAAACTGATTTCAGAAAAAAACATTTTGGTGCTTGGTAGATAATTTCATTGTAAATATTGAACATGGGAAGGATGAAAAGGGCTGTCTTGTGATGCTGTGACTGAAGCTCTTTGTATGATATTTGATGTGCTTGTGAATTTGAATCTCTTGTGCAATATACATGGTAAAAGTACTTATATTTAAATGAAAATTCAGGCAACACTTAAACTTATTAATCTGGTTTTACGCATTAAGTAAGAAAACCTGTAAGTCTTTGCCGTTTGTGAAATGGGCGTGTAGAACATGAATTGCAAACAAAAAACAATTCTTAAATATTGACAATGAAGTCAACAAGTTTCGATGTGGAATTATACTGACATAGTTTATTTGTATTGTTTTCCAATCCATGTATTAAGAAAATATTAATGATTAAAACATGTCAATTAGATCTGATTAAACATTGAGTCAAGATGAAATATGTAATATTTTCAACATGTCGACCACCTATATATAGTTATTATGTATGGTAAGCTGTACATGTGTCCTCGTCGGGACAACTTCAGCCTCATTACAAAACAAGTGAAGTTACAGTGATGTTTTTTCCTAGTTTTAAAGTGAATACAAGCTGCTTCGTCTAGCTTAAAAGTGCTTTATTTCCCCAAAACAAAGAAAAAAATTCAGGAATGTCTTCCAAATTTCAATAAAAATAATGCTATATTTTCTCAATTTATGTAGGATATAGGAAAAGGCTGAATTTAGGTTAAAAAATTACTGAGATGAACAGTTCATTGGTTGATACTGGGTAGTGACTGGTATTTGTTGTATTACATACCTGTATAATGTCTTTTAACCAATATTCCAAAATCTGTGGCTTTTGACTAGCGATATCGGACGATAGTCACAATACTCGTGGTCAAGTAAGTGGCGGCGGCCTTGCTGACCTAGTTATGCAATTTTCAGAATGAGTGGGTGTGTCTGCATGTAATTAGAAATAATAGATCTTTGTATAAATAGAACAATAAGACACTTGTCGTTTGATATCAAGCAGAAGAGCCCTATAGAGGGTGAAAGCTGCTAGTTTGTCACTATATATCTATTTTACTATACAAAGAAATAACCAATACAAACATCGTAAACCTTTCACCACTAGACCATATTAATGGACTTATCCAGAACAATGCATGGCAGAGTTCATTAAAGTTACACAGGGGTGAAAGGATTAAGATAAATTTGGTTCTGAAGATGAGGAAACTCTGCATTAACGGATAGTTTACCACTTCTTTCAAAGTGAGACACAAGTTTTTTTCAATTTGTCTTCAAAATGTTTTTGTTTGTTATGCAAAATATCATAAATAAATATTATTTTTGAAAATTTGCCTGATCAGAAAGACATGCAGTGTTTGTATCTATCACAATTTGCAAGTTATTGTGGCAAAACCAGTTTTCCGTCCATATGATTCTGGCTTGTTACGGTTGCTAGGAGACACTACAATGTCCTGTTGATTATATATGATGTCATAATGTTGTAACTTAACATTTAAACTTATCGCCTGAAGATGGCCACAAGGCTTGATGTTAGTGATGATCGACTAGATTTTCCTTGTTGATGATTTTTTAGTCAGCTTACAGCGGAGGGTCAAAAGTCTTTCTCGTTATGTCATTTTTCCATTAGATTCAGTGTTAATTTTCTGTTGGAAAATCAGTTTTCCCAGCTTTGTTTTTAGTAAGAAATTGATGAGCTAGAGAAATATCAAGCCCTTCTTTTGGCAAGAGTTACATAATTACACGTTTTATGAAATTCCATGATGAGTTAATTGACCAAAACAATTTTTTATGGCACAATTTAACAATTTGTCTATGGGAATGACGTCGAAGTGTAGCTCTACCTCTTGTGCTGGGATGAAAAGTGATATCTCAACAACAGAGGAAGGGATACTTATATAAATGTATATACTATTACCAGGAGAAACAATGGATAATTCTCTTACTGGAGATCAAGTTTTATAAAAATTGGATGTTAAACAAACTCACGAACCTATATCGAAAAATGGTAAAATTAACAAAGAATCCAATGGGAAACTGACACATCATGAAAGACCTTTGACCTCTGTCTGTATATTTGTGAGTCTTTGTTTTTATGTACAATGTAATGCATCTGTTTGTATATATATACACATGTGTATGTAATTGTTTATCAAGAGATCTAGAACTATGTCGCCCATTGCTTTGATTTTTATTAATTGATACCCTTTAACTCATTCACCCCTGAAACTTCATAATGAACTGTTCCAACCTTTGAATTAGAAGAGTTCAAATGTGTCTTCAGGGGTGAATGGGTTAAGTATTGCTTGTTCTTGTCATTCTTGAGAGAACAAGTAAGTACAGCTGTCTTGGATAGTTAAATTGATTTCACAGGACTGGGTCCAAAATTGAAAAAATTGAAGTGTGGTTAATGAGCCTCTAATGAAAGGTGTAGTTTTAACTGATGTACTTATAGAGTGTGATAGAGCACAGGTTTCATTTCCTTGAATTTATGCTAAGTTCATCTTAATTATACTCCCGCAACAAAGTTAGGGGGAGTATACTGGAATCACCCTGTCTGTCTGTCTGTCGTCCACAGTAACTTGTCCGGAGAACTCCTCCTTAACTAACAGGTGGAATTCATTGAAACTTTGCATAAATGATCAGTATCTTATGTAGTTGTGCACCAGCATTTTAATTTGGGATTTCGACCCTTTTTGATGGAGTTATGCACCTTTTTGTGAAATACTTGTCCGTGCAACTCCTCCTTAACGAACTGGTGGATTTCATTGAAACTTTGCACGAATGGTCGGTATCTTATTTAGTTGTGCACCAGCATTTTTATTTGGGATTTCGACCCTTTTTGATGGAGTTATGCTCCTTTGTGCGAAATACGTGTTACTAGTGGCACACTATGGATTGCTTTGCAATGCTTTGCCTTAGTAAGCCTTTAACTTACAGTTCTTGTTTATATAGCAGCGGGGGTATTAGTTAGCCTTTGGCTTGCAGTTCTAGTTTACTCTATTAACATGCATGATGTAATTTGAAAACTTAAAATAACTAATTTAAAATTCAGTTGAACTTAGCATCGATTATCACTCTATTCGTTCATTTTCTCCCTTTATATCAGCTGTAAATGAAGCTGTAATGAAGTGCAGTGCAATCATGGTGACTGTCAAACTTAAAATGGCCTAGGAGCTGGAGACTGTGTACATGACATTCAGTTTCATTCAATGAAATTGTTCCTTTAAAAGGTTTGGTGATTAGCTTCTATTCAGTAGAGAAAAGAATATGCAGTACAGAAATCGACAATTTGTCACTGCTGTGTTAAGCTTTACAAGTTTAGGTAATCAATGACCGTATTAGGACGATTGATTGTGTGCAATATTTTCAGTCATACCTATTTTATTAAAATCTACTTTTTACAGATTTCATATAATGTAATTTATTATGTTGAATACCTAATAACATTAAGGTATAATTGAAATCTAGGGCATTTTTCTAAATAGTTTGTTGACAACTGCAGGAGATCTTTTTTATGCAAATTAGAATATTATTCAATTAATGTATAGTTTTATATGAAATATGTTACAGCTGGTTTTTAATGTGTTATAAAACTGTGTATATATATATATATATATGTGTGTGTCATACAGACAGAAGGTGCCAAATATACACTTTTTTTATAATCAGGAATCAAAAGTTCATCAATTGTGCATGATCTGCCATATTCAAGCTATATATTGTACACTGTTATTGTAAATGATTCATTATAACCCTATTGAAACTCTGTTATTATACTGCGTATATTTTCCTGTGACAACCACATGTTAATTACGTATTCTAAGTTAGTATTTATAATGTGTTGCGAAATGTTATGTATGCACAGTAGGTATACCTATTATATGTAGGTACCTGTAAGCGGTAAGCACTAAAAGCCTCCGTTATTTCCCTGTTTGTTTTCTAGGAAATGTTTGTAACCACCCACCTCCAGTGCCCCCGCATCTTGATTAGGAATAATAAATGAATTGGGTTTTTTTGCCCATCTCTCTGTAAACGCAATTCTTTTCAGCCAAATTTCATGAAACGTCACTGGTGTAACAAACACAGGAAGGTGTGCACCTGCAATTAACCCTTTCATCCCTATGTAACTTTAGTAAACTCTACCATGCCTTGATCTGGATGAGTCCATTTGTGTTTACAGTGGTGAAACGGTTGATAGTTTAATCAGGGTATTTCTATGGGAGTTATTCCCCTTTGTTTGTAAGCATTGTTTGCACTACTCTTCCCGATCGCGAAGTACTGCCCCAATTTAGTGACATTTAATACTCATAAACCTAACATTGAGTGAATATCAGTAAAGTAAACAAATTGCTGTCACCTCCCCATATCAGGAGGTTACACCCATTTGTTTGAACACCTTGATACTTGGTACTTGTAACCATTGAGAGGAGGATGTGTGCAGTTGCGCCATTTTGTTTATTCAAAAATGTTTTTAAAAACTGATTTCTATAGTTGTTGGGGCAGTAAGGGTTGTAAGTCTGCCGTTACGTTGACAGTTCTAGTTCAAATGTAATTGTCTGACTACGTTTTTCATATTTTGATGAAGTTAGAGTCATACTGTATTTTTCTAAATTATCCATTTTGTTCATTATGTTTACTCTAATGAGTTAATTTGCAAAACAATTTCAGGGCATTATTCAGCATTGTTTCATGGACACTATTACTCAATTTTATACAGAGAAAAAACAACTTAGTAAACGTGACGGTGTCCCCGTATTGTACTGCAATTCTCTAATTTCGAGCAAGGACAGCTAGGAAAATAATGCTTCAAAACCACCACCGTATAAAACTGCAATGGAAATGTCTGATTTACCATTACTTATCGTACAGCATGTTTTCACAAATCATCAATATGTCATAGTGTTTCAAATGTTTACTGTAATAGTTAATACTAAACTATTATGAAGAAATAAAGATGATATAAAATGAGAAATTGTTGGAAATTGATCAATATATGACATTTTAAAATTAATAGAGATGTGGGAAATACTAATAATGAGAGTAATGGTAGCGATAGCTTTCACTCATCATCTGGCCTACCCCGTGTGCTAATGGTAGCGATAGCTTTCCCTCATCTGGCCTACCCCGTGTGCTAATGGTAGCGGTAGCTTTCACTCATCATCTGGGCTACCCCGTGTGCTAATGGTAGCGATAGCTTTCCCTCATCATCTGGCCTACCCCGTGTGCTAATGGTAGCGGTAGCTTTCACTCATCATCTGGGCTACCCCGTGTGCTAATGGTAGCGATAGCTTTCCCTCATCTGGCCTACCCCGTGTGCTAATGGTAGCGCTAGCTTTCACTCATCATCTGGCCTACCCCGTGTGGTAATGGTAGCGATAGCTTTCACTCATCATCTGGTCTACCCCGTGTGCTAATGGTAGCGATAGCTTTCCCTCATCTGGCCTACCCCGTGTGCTAATGGTAGCGGTAGCTTTCACTCATCATCTGGGCTACCCCGTGTGCTAATGGTAGCGATAGCTTTCCCTCATCATCTGGCCTACCCCGTGTGCTAATGGGAGCGATAGCTTTCACTCATCTGGCCTACCCCGTGTGCTAATGGTAGCGGTAGCTTTCACTCATCATCTGGGCTACCCCGTGTGCTAATGGTAGCGATAGCTTTCCCTCATCATCTGGCCTACCCCGTGTGCTAATGGTAGAGATAGCTGTCACTCATCATCTGGCCTACCCCGTGTGCTCATGGTAGCGATAGCTTTCACTCATCATCTGGCCTACCCCGGGTGCTAATGGTAGCGATAGGTTTCACTCATCATCTGGCCTACCCCGTGTGCTAATGGTAGCGATAGCTGCCACTCATCATCTGGCCTACCCCGTGTGCTAATGGTAGAGATAGCTTTCACTCATCATCTGGCCTACCCCGTGGGCTAATGGTAGCGATAGCTGTCACTCATCATCTGGTCTACCCCGTGTGCTAATGGTAGCGATAGCTTTCCCTCATCTGGCCTACCCCGTGTGCTAATGGTAGCGGTAGCTTTCACTCATCATCTGGGCTACCCCGTGTGCTAATGGTAGCGATAGCTTTCCCTCATCATCTGGCCTACCCCGTGTGCTAATGGGAGCGATAGCTTTCACTCATCATCTGGCCTACCCCGTGGGCTAATGGTAGCGATAGCTGTCACTCATCATCTGGCCTTCCCCGTGTGCTAATGGTAGCGATAGCTGTCACTAATCATCTGGCCTACCCCGTGTGCTAATGGTAGCGATAGCTGCCACTCATCATCTGGCCTACCCCGTGTGCTAATGGTAGCGATAGCTTTCACTAATCATCTGGCCTACCCCGTGTGCTAATGGTAGCGGTAGCTTTCACTCATCATCTGGGCTACCCCGTGTGCTAATGGTAGCGATAGCTTTCACTAATCATCTGGCCTACCCCGTGTGCTAATGGTAGCGATAGCTTTCCCTCATCATCTGGCCTACCCCGTGTGCTAATGGTAGAGATAGCTTTCACTCATCATCTGGCCTACCCCGTGTGCTAATGGCAGCGATAGCTTTCACTCATCATCTGGCCTATCGCGTGTGCTAATGATAGCGATAGCTTTCACTCATCATCTGGCCTATCCCGTGTGCTAATGATAGCAATAGCTTTCACTCATCATCTGGCCTATCCCGTGTGCTAATGGTATGGCAGGTGTCGGCGTTTGTCGCCTTCTCTTGTTCATCCCTCAACGTTTTCTTGAGTGACTTCAATTCTTAACTTGAAAAAATGGGGTTATATTTGGCCAGTAGATACCTGGAGTGAAGTATTTTAAAGTTTCCTCAAATATTTGACCTGACTTTCAAGGTCACAGGCGTCGATTATATACTGAAGCATAGTGAAGAAAGTCTGGTGTCGAAGCCATGTTTTTTTCGTGATGTTACGCAGACCAGCAATGCAATGCAGATATTTTCTCTTAGATTGAGGTAGAGTATACTTTAAGGGTTCGCCGAAATCAAATGTCAGCATAGGCTAATGTGAAACAGAAGAAGAAGCTTTCAAATTCTTGTCATAAAATTCCATAAAGCCTAGGGTGACGATAGTTGGTCAGTCATAAAATTCCATAAAGCCTAGGGTGACGATAGTTGGTCAGTAGATACCTTGGGTGGAGGATGAACCTGTGATTGTACATAGAAAAGTAACTAATCGATACAGGGTGTCAAAAAGGAATGACACTGCATCATACAGTTGTTTTATCCTTCGAGGACTCGTCGGTGATGCTAGGGGACCAAAGAGGTGGAAGTACAAATTAGTCTAAACTACTGTTGAAACAGAAGGGACGTGTGTTAAAACACTTAATCATGGGGATTTTAAAAACCCCAGAGGAGTACTGAACCATGCAACTGTGACTATCAAGGTTATGGTTAAACCCCGGGGACTAAGAAATCCACCAGCAGAGTCTACCACCTTGTATCTAGAAAGATGCATCCCACCTCTCTCTCTCTCTCTCTCTCTCTCTCTCTCTCTCTCTCTCTCTCTCTCTCTCTCTCTCTGCTATCTATGTTCCCCTCGCTCGTATCTACCACTCTGCTATCCCCTTTTCTCAGCTCTCTCTCTCTCTCTCTCTCTCTCTCTCTCTCTCTCTCTCTCTCTCTCTCTCTCTCTTTGCTATCTATGTTTCCCTCGCTCTGTCTATCACTCTCTGCTACCCCCTTTTCTCATCTATCTCACTCTCTCTCTCTCTCCCTATCTATCTCCCTCTCCCTATCTCTCTTTCTCTCTCTGCTATTTATGTTTCCCTCACTCTGTCTACCACTCTCTGCTACCCCCTTTTCTCAGCTATCTCACTCTCTCTCTCTTCTATCTCCCTCTTTATACGATCGCCCGATGCAACTGTTCCTCGATAATTACATACTTCAATGAAATATTCACTTACAGACGGAGAAAGATCAAATGACCAAAATAATAACACATACTCAATTTAAGTAAAGAACATTGAATTTAATTTCATATAAATATAATACATTGAATAAGTCAGAACTACAGAACTAAACCTGGATTTTCTTCAATCGGGACTTAATCAGCGTAGCTTCACAATTGATAAGTTCGTTAATAGTCGGAAAAAACTTGTGATATTGAAAAAAATATGCGATAATTCTAAACTTTTATGAGTAGCATTCAATGAAAATTCGTGAAACTGGCGATTAAAAACGTACAAGCCGAAGTTATTATTTTGTCAAAATACTTTAGATAAATGCAAGAATGTTCATAGTTTTGAATGTCTTGCCTACTAATTTTGCACGAACATATCTTCCGCTATAAATAGTTTTACTTACAATCGAGTCGACGACACATCATACCTAGTCGACAAGTACATAATTTACATTGAACTATTATGGAAAATGTCTCCCGAAATGTAAGGGAAGGCACTCATGCTACGTAACCGTCTTTTCTAAGGACATACATTTGTATACTTAACATAAAGTAATATTCAAATTTCTTCGTAAAAATCTAATGTAGATTGAGGAACTGCTGTGCCACGAGTGTCAGCCAGCTCATCAGAACATTACACACTAATGATTGTGTCTCGCAATGAGATTTACGGATCCGTAATATTGGATGTTATAGATACAATAAGGCCTCATTGTATCTATAACATCCAATATTACGACTTAAAACATAGACAATAACGACGCACTAGAGAAGAACAGTGACGTAGCAATAATTGTTGCTACGTCACAACTAATTGTGTAAACACATAAACGTATGACGTATTACGCACATTTGTACTGACTACAGTCTAGAATGAAGATGTTATGTTTGAATGAAGTTACAAAATGTATCAGAATGATGAAATACAACACTAAAAACATTAATCCGATCAAACGATTGTTTAAGATACAAATTAACACTGTGTTAAAACAGTTTCGCAAGGTTAACAACATCATTAATACAAAAGTAAAAAATAGTTTACAGAGTGTTATATATACCGCTATACTCGTAAACTCTTATTCTATTCTAAACCATTTTCTGTAAGTAATCTGGTCCCAACAATATCAAAAAGATACTGACGTGTCTATTCCCTCTTTGCGTATTGCAGAGTTATCTTCTCTTGGGAGCAGGTATTGATTGTTACGTCATTGGTTTGTGTGAGAAAATTACGTCGTTTTCTCAAAAATTGATGACGTTACTCTCACAAACAAGTGACGTAACAATCAATACCTGCTCCCAAGAGAAGATAACTCTGCAATACGCTAAGACGGGAATAGATACCATATCGGTATCCATGCACAAAATGGAGCTTCAAAGTATGATCTGTACAAAACACTTATTATACAAATAAATCCCCTGATAATGATGAATCGGGATAACACATGTGCTGACATATTCAAAAGATGTAAGTCAGCAAGAAAAAACATCGAGGCTGATATATTTACACTTCCAGTGGATGATAAAAGCACACCAACAAGTGCACCAAGGCATTTTATCGAATTGGCAAAACAAATGAAAATCATGATTTTAAACTATGACCAAACGATTTGATGTCACTCAATGTATATATAACTTGTCGAAAATTATGCAATTATTCTGCTATCATCCACACACCTCTTGTTAACATTCAGCACGTGATTGATGACTTAAATAAAAACAATGACATCTATATCAATAAAGTTAAACGATAATCATTGAAATATCAAACACTTACAACACAAGATAAATAACAATTAAAACTGTTCTAAACTAAGATAAATAATAGCTACATGTGTACTGATCACTACATATAAATACTCAGTAAAGTTTTACTATATTTAACACTTGTGACTATTCCAAACTTTTATTTACAGTGTTAATACACGTACATAATACTCGTCTATATACTATGGTATTAACATCACTCTATGGAAGCACGCCCAAGTACAGCGTATGTGACGACAAAATACAGGGGCATCGACCAAGTCTCATGTTTTATGTTTCCTTTGCAGAAATATGTTGACAGTTCTGTGATGTCATCGCCTTCCAGCTGCTGTATATATCCCGTTCGGAAAACATGTGTACAGTTTGAACTGTTGGGAAAAAAAAGAATGCGGAGTTTAAATATTTTGAATGTTATACTTAAGCAATAATTGACAACTTGATCAAAATATTTTAAAATTCTTATAATTTACACTATTAACTTTTACTTTTTTTATGTCCACTATTTTACAATATGGTATTACTAGACTTGCAATATCTTACTTGATGATTTACACTACGATAGTGTCTAAGTATACTTTCAATTATTTGCGATATTGTCTTACCAATTTTTATTTCAACAATTTATAGTATAGTGGTACTTTTTATACATTTGATATTCTATAATATAAATGAATGATACTTTCAATAATTTACAATATGATAGTATTTATTTTTCACCTATCTATTTATTTGCCTTTTAACTATCACACTTACATATTTATTATATTGCTCCCAAATTGTCCTCAAGATGTTTTACTTCAAACAGTTTATGTACTTGTGATACTACTGATAGTGACAGTGTTACCATAATGTTATGCTTTAGTATCACTTATACTATAGTACCTGTAATATAATACCAAAGAGGGTTTCATTTAATACCGATGTAACGGATTAACGCTCATGTCGGCATGGATGTTAAACAATTTTGTAAAGTAGTTCGATTCTATAGTAGAACGAATCATAATTAAATTTTGGCTGAACGTGCCGTATCATACGTACATCATCTATCCGTCCACGGTAATTCGCCATCATACTTCCGGCTCCAATGACGATTCCACTTTGTCTCCGTAAAATATCACCTGGGGAAACAATAACACCATTGATCAATTGGTGTTCTCAACGGACTACTGGCTTAAATATTATGGCTAGCATTTGACATTCTTCACATCATTATTTATTAATTTTCTGTATTATTAAGCTTTGATCAACGTACGAATTATACAAAAGTTTTGTCTAGTTTAAAGTATGTAATTCGTTGACAAAGGTACAATAGCTATACAGCAACGGGTCACATGCTACCCGAAGATACAGGAGTAAAACAAGTCAGTTTATTTTATTTGTAACTGTGTTAGATTGCTGCGGACTCTCTGTTTATTGCATATATTTGCACGATATTTAAATATCCTGTTTTTAATTTTACCCACACCCAGTACGGAAGGGCGTTTCTCTTACCCTTGACAGGTGTATCCACACTTTTACCGGTGTGAGATTAATAGAATCTTACATGGGTCTGTCCGTGGACAGGGATATCTCAACCCTCGTGTAAGAGTTTGGCTGGTCAGCACGAGGCTTGCCGAGTGCTGGCCAGCCAAACTCTTCCACGAGGGTTGAGATATCCCTGTATATGGAACGGACCCATGTATGATTCTATGAATCTCAAACCGGTAAAAGTGTTTGATTATTTTTCTCAAATACATACAAATAAACAAATTCCAGTCAGAATAAACATCGATCTTATTCTTCCGGGTGAGATAGAGGAATCTCAACCCCCGTGGAAAGATTCTTCAGTTGCCAAACACTCGGCAAAGCCTCGTGTTTGGCAACTTAAGAATCTTCTCCCTCGGGTTGAGATTCTCCTATCTCACACTCAAGGGTGTGTGATCTATTCTATTAGTCCCTACTTACCAGTGAGAGAAGCTGTGCGGACCTCGTTGTTGACACGCCCCGTAAGTGTCACACCGTCATAGATATACACTCCGCTACTCATTACCGTCGGCTGAAACAAATATAGTCAAAAGCTCATTTCATAAAATAGAAATAATTCAATTTGCTTCTCTTTAGAGCATCACCATTTCTTTTCGAAAAATGACAATTTGTATGCAAAATGGTAGTTGGTTCTTTTAAATAGACTGTCAAGTGTTGCACTAGATGACACTACTTACGTCATAAGGGACAAACAATTCCGCCGTTCCGCGTGTCGTCTGCGTCTTGAAATACAACACGCTTGGGTCACTTCCGGGAACCACGCTGATGGCCAGAGAAGCTTCCTCCTGATCACTGAAGATGCAGTTTGTTACAAGGGCCTGGATTGGTCCAGGGCTACCACTGTTTTCAGGGCGGAACTTGAAGGTGATCACTAAACTTCGTCGAAAATCAGAATTAGAAAACCGCCACATGTTTATCATCCCGTCTCCGGAAAACTTGGCTTCCTTTGTATCCAATTCAACGTTCTCCAGTCCAGCGGCGATCTCGTTCCCCGACATGTCACCGAAGTTGTCATCGAAGTTAAAATAAACCTCCGGGTTACAGGCTGTAAATAGAGACAATGATTAGTCTTAAACTCAGAATAAATATAACGATTACAAAATGACAATAAGTCCATTTGACACGTGTTTCAGCTGATATTTCAGTCGATGCAACTAAACAATGAATAAACAGATAACAAAATGATAACTTTTGACGAGATGCTTGAGAAAGGTATTGATCTCATAAACAAGTTTGGTTATTATCTGCACTGTTTTATAGAGTTTTGATAGTTCTTTCAGAGAATTATGGGAGGTGGATATTGAGCATAATTCTTAATGGGTTTGATTCTACTCGAGCTGTTCACTTCACTCAATGAGCAAATCAATATATTATACTCTTCACTAAATACTTTCCACACTAAACTTTGTTTTCTTAATGTTTGTGTACGAATATTGTTTTGCTCTTAACGGTTTCTTCTAACACTTACTTTGCAGAGACTGAGAAGGCAAGTCATCGATGCCAGTACATGCGCAGTCATTCGAAACGAAATAGGTTCCTGTTGCACAGTCACGTGTGATATTTCCACTTCCGGGCGCATACTCCAAGTACTTTGTTCTGTCACTAGCGTGGGGATAGCTGGCACACACTGAAAAAGTAAATCAGCTTTATCAGTTAAAATAGTATGCTTCTGCTTTACCAAAAATGATCTTTTGGTATGATTCGGAAACAATCTTTTTCCAGTTATTATTGTTTGCGATAATGTTAATAATGTACCTGTGAATGAGTATTCATATTTCTAGTGTTTATAAAACAAGAGGTCATGTTATTATTGTTTTCACTCTACTGTAATAATGCTTTCATTCCGCCACCAAATAACACTTTCTAATAATACAAAGTAGTTGTGGTGATAAATGGTTTCCATTATATTTAGGAATAAAACCTTTGAAATCAATACACATTGTGATACACAGTAAGCATTGCCAAACTCGTAAACTGTTTTATTTTGTAAATACACCCTTATTTATACTATGATGGACAGATTTACCGTGAACGACAAAGGATTTTTAGCACTTTAGACAATTGATGAGTGTATCCATTTAAACCACCGCTATCTGCCGTTGGTTAGAGGCTGTACATTACACTGATCTGATCTCTACCCGAGGGTATTATTTACTATAGCGGTGCCTTCTAAGTATACACAGCCTCCAGCTACCATATAGATAGGCTACAATGTCTGTTTGAAACAATGATGATGACATGAAACCAGCTTCTATAATAGAAATTTCAGACAAAAGAAAGATATGAGCCAAACAAAACGATTAATTGCAAGAGCAGTCCTGGTCAAATTAATGTATTCAAATGTACAGCTTAAATAAATACATCTTTTACACAGATTGCTGCACATTATTTCTCTTAACTCTAACCACACAGCTAAAACTGATCTGTGTAATCTTTTTTTTCTCATTCTAACTACACATCTTAAAGTAATGTTTATATTGTTGTACAGTATTTCTCTTAATTCTAACTACATATAAAAAATCTTTGCAATAGAAAGATTAGTGTACAACATTTCCTTTAGTTCTAACTGCACAGCCAAAGGTAATAACTCTTTGTCATATGTACATTGTCTCACTAAAGATATGTTCACATAGCAAAATGAAATGTAATATGTAGATTGTTGTGCATTATTTCTATCTACACAACTAAGAAATTACAAATCTTTGCAATATATAAATGGCTTTAAAACATGGCTTTCTGTTTTTCAGTTGTGTTTTCCCCCATAAAGAATATGCGTAATCATTTATTAACTTAATTAACGTGGAAAGAACTAATTATAAAATCGAGAACTTATTGTAATTCGTCCTTGACCGTATACATCGACTTTATCTGATGATAGCCTATGGTCAAACATCTCGTAGGTCATCGATAGTCCATACTTTATCTTAAGTACTTGACCAAGTATTTTGAAGGTCAGAGATAGATTCGGTCGGTGAATTCCAGATAACCCCCGAGGTGAAGATGCTTACATCTGTCTTGTTATGGTGGGTCATGATTGGTTACACATCCGTAGTAGCTCTTTATCATTTAAATTAATCAAAGTTTACATATATATGTTGTATTACAGGGAATTTTTCATCGAATCGGAAAAAATCGATTTTGGTCCGATATACAGTGGGATAATACTGTTTATTTGAAATTGGAAGCATATGAAGACTTAACATCTTAGATACGGCGGAAGTTCAATTTAATTATAGTACTCTCATCTTGAAGGTGAAAAAACAGAACAATAACTTCGTGTTAGTTTCACTAAAAGTAACGTTCCTTTCACCTCCTTCGGAATTAAACAAAAAGTTTTCAGTTAAGCAAAATCTAATTCTAGCAGAGCAGTCTAAGTGAACGTAGACTCTGTCTTCTTCCGGAAGTAATCAAAATATTATTTTAGATATTATATAATACATATTTGCTGAGATATTATGCATATTGAGATACTTACTTTATCTGTACTTGATATTTAGTAATACTGATTGACATGTATGACAATTATTTTAAATAATATTTTTCAGATGGTAACAGAGTGAGGCGGCGTGAATGTTCGCAGACTTCTAAAGAACTGGAACCTCGGCATTTCAAGCGAACATTTCAAATTTGGAATAACTCCAGACGGGTAACGATATTAATGCCAAATGTTTACCATTTGTTTATAAAGCCTACATTATTAGATGAGCAATACACTCGATTATATATCAGTAATAACATTATACTCCCACCAACGGCCGGCCGAGAGGTAGTCGTGTTTCGTGTTTATATAATCAAGGCGCGAAGAATGTTATAGGAATGAAATGGAATTGTCTATTCGACATAATGCGCTAATGCTTTTAAATTTTCACAACAGAAATGATCATACAAAGATTATATCGGGTTCTCTCCGACGTCAATGCTTTTTTCTATTAAATGACCGAACCATAAAGAGGAGCAATAATGGTACCATAAAACAAAGCATCTGTTACTAACCTGTGGGTCCTACTAGTCTGTTAGAGTCGACTGGGGGGCAACTATCCGGGCAGAAGTCGTTGTCAGAGCACTTCAGCTGAGGCCCGTTCCCAATGAAACGCTGGTTTTGTTTCGGACAGCAGGACGGGTACGCCTTGCCGTTGATGCAGTACCAAAATCCGGAGCAGACGTCCGCCATCGGGAAAGCTCCATAACTGACCCCACGACACGGATCTGTAACAGGTAAACGGTAAGTGGTAACTAATTATTAACTATAAATAGCTATACATGTATATCAACGATATCAGGCAGTTAGTCAGTTTATAGTCCATACACGAGACAGGAAGAAAATGGAAAAGTTGATATGTGATTGCGGTATTTTAAAGGTTGTTAAGTTGACTTGATAACAACCGCGCGGGTGTAGAGAGTCTCCTGCAACTTATGTGTGCCGTTTTCAAATAATACAACGAACGAATCGTAGCAATTGAATAATGAAGCAACACTGCATCCGATGACATTTTATGTAAACTGGTATGCAATAATGTTAAAATAAACAAGGAATTATGGTTTTTATACTGAGCATACCCAAGAGAAAATAAAATAATCTTATCAAGTCTTTACTGACGTATGTACATATTTGTATGAGTTTTTCGCTTTAAGATATGATAAGCAGTCTTACCATCATTGCACGTGACATCGACAGGATACCGACAGGACAGGCTGTATGAGTCCCACCAGGACCCGAACGGACATTTCTGTACACTGGACACCCGGCCTCCTCGACCGTCGGGAAACATGGAAATATAGCGCGTGCAGTCTCCGGGATAAGGCATGTAGCCCCAGTTACGCCCTATGATACAGTTAGGACACAGGTCGCCTGCAAGGACAGAGAAAAAAAACGGTCACTCTAATGGTTAAAATGTACAAGTGTCGGCACATTACAACACACAGCTGGTCGCTGGCCATCTCTCTGATACTAGCCGATTGCTCGATTTTATTATTTACTTTCAAGATTTGAAAATTAGATATTAATAAATAAGCGAATAAATAAATAAATAAATAAATAAAGTATGAAACACAAAATATGACAAACTATAAATAATCAGTGCAATCATTTGTGTTGTGTGTGTGTAACGTTCATCTTTGAAACACATCAACCAATCATGTTGTTGATTAAAGATACTACATAAAATACTAAACACTTTGATATTTCAAATATTACTTACTTATTACAGTCGACAACAGGCTGCCAGCAGGTGGCAACGTAGGGATGGGCGTTAACCTCCGGGGTGTAGTTGGTGCCCTTGTTGTTGGTATGGGGGTCGTTGGTGCTTGAGTGGTCGGCGCCTGTGTGGTCGGCGCCGCTGTGGTCGGGGCCGCTGTGGTCGGCGCCTGTGTCGTTGGCGCTCGTGTGGTCGGCGCCTGAGTTGTTGGCGCGGGCGTGGTTGGTGCCGGCGTGGTAGTAGTGGTTGTCGTTGTGGTAGTGGTGGTGGTGACGGTCGTGGTGATCACTGATAAACAGGACAAAGACAACACTTTATAATACATTACCACAAAAGTTTATATATGTTTATTGGTTGATATGTACAAACTGCACTGTTTTGCAGTCGATCACTCTTTATTACAAGTTTACATGACGTCATAAGCAAAACATGAAGAAGGTGTTATGCAAATGACTTTTACTTGGTAATTCTGCTATTCCTTTTTTCGAATCAACGCCATGCCGTACGTTTTTCAAGAAAATTATCATGATGGTCTGTCGATGTTTCAATGTTAACAAACGGGCTGCACTAAAGTAACCCTCACGTGCAACTTACCGTGACAGATGAGGCTGCGCTAAAGTAACCCTCACGTGCAACTTACCGTGACAGATGAGGCTGCATTAAAGTAACCCTCACGTGCAACTTACCGTGACAGATGAGGCTGCACTACAGTAACCCTCACGTGCAACTTACCGTGACCGATGAGGCTGCACTACGTACAGTAACCCTCCCCTGCAACTTACCGTGACAGATGAGGCTGCGCATGGCGATCTCCACTTCATTCAACAGCATGGTGAAGTCATTGGACTCGAACACTAGAGAACTACTGCTGGCGATCTGTTCCAACTCCGTCCTGGATTGTAGGAAAAAATAGTTACAAACAATATATTTCGTAAATAAAGTGTGTCATCAACGACAAGGTGGAGTTACAGACAATATATATCTATATATGTATAAGACACACCATAATGTGTCCCGTCCTTGGTATCAACAAAGGGAAGCTTAAGAGGAAGATATGTACCTTAAACAGCAGGGAAGTTATAAACGGCCAATTCTTAAAATAATGTCAAATCATATACATGTATTTGTCTTGGAATTTACTTATAAGATTCCCAAGTTAAGTGTTTGATAATACTGTTTCTGGATTACAATTTCATTAATGATAATTAACACAATATCAGTTAATGATTCCAAGATGGTTTTTAACAATATATTGTTAGGTAAGCATCGCTTGACTGATGATCCTCTAAGTCTATTCTCCATGCACGTGCCACTCTCGTGCATCGATGCCTCCCTACCACCTCAACCCCGTGTCAAATTTATGGTCTCACCCTGTCCCCTTGTCACGAACATCAGGATCAGGGATATGTCATCAATAACTACCCTGCTGATAGTTTATGGTCTCACCCTGTCCCCTTGTCACGAACATCAGGATCAGGGATATGTCATCACTAACTACCCTGCTGATTGTTTATGGTCTCCCCCTGTCCCCTTGTCACGAACATCAGGATCAGGGATATGTCATCAGAAACTACCCTGCTGATTGTTTATGGTCTCACATATCAGTTAATGATTCCAAGATGGTTTTTAACAATATATTGTTAGGTAAGCGTCGCGTGACTGATGATCCTCTAAGTCTATTCTCCATGCACGTGCCACTCTCGTGCATCGATGCCTCCCTACCACCTCAACCCCGTGTCAAATTTATGGTCTCACACTGTCCCCTTGTCACGAACATCAGGATCAGGGATATGTTATCAATAACTACCCTGCTGATTGTTTATGGACTCACCCTGTCCCCTTGTCATGAACATCAGAATCAGGGATATGTCATCAATAACGACCCTGCGGATTGTTTATGGTCTCACCCTGTCCCCTTGCCATGAACATCAGGATCAGGGATATGTCATCAATAACGACCCTGCGGATTGTTTATGGTCTCACCCTGTCCCCTTATCATGAAAATCAGGATCAGGGATATGTCATCAGTAACTCCCCTGCTGATTGTTTATGGTCTCACCCTGTGCCCATGTCATGAACATCAGGATCAGGGATATGTCATCAATAACGACCCTGCGGATTGTTTATGGTCTCACCCTGTCCCCTTGCCATGAACATCAGGATCAGGGATATGTCATCATTAACTACCCTGCTGATTGTTTATGGTCTCACATATCAGTTAATGATTCCAAGATGGTTTTTAACAATATATTGTTAGGTAAGCGTCGCGTGACTGATGATCCTCTAAGTCTATTCTCCATGCACGTGCCACTCTCGTGCATCGATGCCTCCCTACCACCTCAACCCCGTGTCAAATTTATGGTCTCACACTGTCCCCTTGTCACGAACATCAGGATCAGGGATATGTTATCAATAACTACCCTGCTGATTGTTTATGGTCTTACCCTGTCCCCTTGTCACGAACATCAGGATCAGGTATATGTCATCAATAACTACCCTGCTGATTGGTTATGGTCTCACCCTGTCCCCTTGTCATGACATCAGGGTCAGGGATATGTCATCAATAACTACCCTGCTGATTGTCGGTTTACTAACGTGATTTTACTACACGTAACATGTCAAGAAGGCTCTTCATAATCTAAGGGTTATGCCCAATACACATATATATTCCCCTTGTCATGAACATCAGGATCAGGGATATGTCATCATTAACTACCCTGCTGATTGTTTATGGTCTCTCGCTGTCCCCTTGTCATGAACATCAGGATCAGTGATATGTCATCAGTAACTACCCTGCTGATTGTTTATGGTTTCACCCTGTCCCCTTGTCATGACACCAGGATCAGGGATATGTCATCAATAACTACCGTGCTGATTGTTTATGGTCTCACCCTGTCCCCTTATCATGAAAATCAGGATCAGGGATATGTCATCAGTAACTTCCCTGCTGATTGTTTATGGTCTCCCCCTGTCCCCTTGTCATGAACATCAGGATCAGGGATGTGTCATCAATAACTACCCTGCTGAATCCTCTAAGTCTATTCTCCATGCACGTGCCACTCTCGTGCATCGATGCCTCCCTACCACCTCAACCCCGTGTCAAATTTATGGTCTCACCCTGTCCCCTTGTCAGGAACATCAGGATCAGGGATATGTCATCAGAAACTACCCTGCTGATTGTTTATGGTCTCACATATCAGTTAATGATTCCAAGATGGTTTTTAACAATATATTGTTAGGTAAGCGTCGCGTGACTGATGATCCTCTAAGTCTATTCTCCATGCACGTGCCACTCTCGTGCATCGATGCCTCCCTACCACCTCAACCCCGTGTCAAATTTATGGTCTCCCCCTGTCCCCTTGTCACGAACATCAGGATCAGGGATATGTTATCAATAACTACCCTGCTGATTGTTTATGGTCTTACCCTGTCCCCTTGTCACGAACATCAGGATCAGGGATATGTCATCACTAACTACCCTGCTGATTGTTTATGGTCTCCCCCTGTCCCCTTGTCACGAACATCAGGATCAGGGATATGTTATCAATAACTACCCTGCTGATTGTTTATGGACTCACCCTGTCCCCTTGTCATGAACATCAGAATCAGGGATATGTCATCAATAACGACCCTGCTGATTGTTTATGGTCTCACCCTCACCCCTTGTCATGACATCAGGATCAGGGATATGTCATCAATAACTACCATGCTGATTGTTTATGGTCTCACCCTGTCCCCTTGCCATGAACATCAGGATCAGGGATATGTCATCAGTAACTCCCCTGCTGATTGTTTATGGTCTCACCCTGTCCCCTTGTCATGACACCAGGATCAGGGATATGTCATCAATAACTACCCTGCTGATTGTCGGTTTACTAACGTGATTTTACTACACGTAACATGTCAAGAAGGCTCTTCATAATCTAAGGGTTATGCCCAATACACATATATATACTCGTTACATAGAAAATGTGTATATTAAAGCGTAACTCTTGGATTTTAAACGTTTTTCAGCCTACATTTCTGCCATGTCATCCCAACCTTACCGAAAGACGTTTGAGCCAAAGCCGATGGAGATCATGCGGATTCCCGCACTCTTAGCCAGGTCGGCCTGCTGCTTGGTCTGTTCCGGGGAAACGGACCGACCGTCTGTGATGACGATTCCAACTTTATCCACGCCCGACCGACCTGAACAAGTAAACGACAAAATAAATGTTTGTAAATAACGTACGGTATATTTAATTTTCTAGATAATACGTTACAGTTTTAATACACTCAAAGCAGCTTTACAATACATGTGTATGGTAGAACATCATCAACCAAAGCAACCATCAGAAATGATGGCTAGACCTATCCATCCACCTGTAAGTGCTTAAGAACCAGCATATTTCCTAACTCACATAAATGATTAACATTTATACAGCTCCGAATAGAAATCAATAACACTTTTTGTTTTGTTCAGAAATGGCCCATATGTTCTTAATTGAAATTACGCAAAAGCATTTTTTGGGGGGGAAAAGGCGTCAATTATGTGTAAAACTGCTAAATTTAATGTTTCTATACGAATTGAAATAAATCATCTCAGCTTAAAGGATAATGAACATTTTGAATAGGGTTTAGTTCTTTCTCGGTAAAAACGAGAAAGCGCTGTTATTTGATGATTTCAGTTGTTTTCCGAATGTATCCAGTTATAGTTCCCTGTGCTTATTCGATGAGTTTGAAATTATTTTAGAACAAGGTAGAATTCAAGCATTACCGCAGCGAATACATTTTCTGACATGAATCTAATCCAAAACATTTGGGTCACATAAAAAACATGACAAGAATCATGTCGACAAAATAAGTAGACCTTTGGAATGCTTGGCAAAGGAATGTGTACTCATAAGACGAACCGTTCTGCAAATTACTTAATAATGTAACACATAACAGATTTGTAGCAGTGATCAAAAGTTAGGAAATATACAAATGTTAGACTAGGAATGGTCGAAAGCAAACTTGGTTTTGAGGAAGTCCCGTACTAATCGAACGAATGGAACATTTGTGTTACTCTTGCTGGTGATATATCTGTTAATAACTTGCTGGTGATATATCTGTTAATAAACCATGCCCTTCATTTCTTAACAAAACAATGTTCCATTAATTTCCTCAACCATTCCCCCCCCCCCCCCTTTCCCTTAGAAAATGTGTTCGCAAATTACAGAAAAAAAGAAAACCTTACGTGTTTTTTTCTCTATAACGCTTCACCTTTAACACAAATAATTAATTATTACTCACCCCTTTCGTTGAACATTCTGCGCATGGCCTCTATCGCTTTCGGAGTTCCGGTTCCGGATTTCGGTTGGTTTAGGTTTCGGATTGTGATATCCAGGACCTGAATGTAATTGACTGTACCCAAATATACGATGTCCCCTGGAATTGTCCCGTACACAATCACGCCAACTCTCGTGAAGGCTGACGAGATTTGAAACTTTGACAATAGTTCCATCACAAAAGTCTTCATGTTTGAAAAGTTAATCTCACTAAGACTTTCCGAACCATCTAACACGAAAACGACATCGGACGGCACAGCGCACGTGATGTCTGCAAATACAAACATAGCAACAGGTAATGGATACGGAAACTCGTGTCGCTTGATAATGTAACGATAATAGTGTTGTTTGGCTACCCTATAATTAGTAATTAGAGAATTTAACTAACATCTGGGAGAGTGAGCTGATAAACACCAATTCTGATTAAAGTAAATGCAAACAAAATATAACTAAAATTTTGAATGAGAAGGAAAATGAAAATGTTTTCTTTTTCTCTAATGTAACAAAACCCGAATCTACAAGTAGGTAAAAAAAAGACAACCATGTTTTAGTAACATTACAGAGCACTACATTGCGTAACCATTTTGTTCAAAAGCCTGTTAGAAAAATAAAACAAATACAACACTAGAAAGAATTTCAGTCAGTATCCATAGCCGATTATCAAAAGCAAATACATGTTATTTGACGCCTTGACGCAAATTTCGATTTTTGTTTATCCCGTTAGCTTTAATATTAATTACCGACAGCTTCAAGTAAGATTACCTCTCAGCTCCATATATGTACAGTTAATAAAAAAATTAACGTGACAGTACATATATGATGTCTATTAACATTATACTCGCTAACATACAAAAGAAAACAGTTGACACTTACTCTGAGCATGCGCCGTATTTACGATGAAAAGGAGTAGTAGTATCACGTGACATTTCTGCCGAAATATTACTCTGAGGCGGTCGTCCATACTAGTCTTCTGTTATCTACAAAAACAAACATAAAGTGCATCACATTCTATGTACAAATACAAAATATAAAGTTCATCACATTCTATGTACAAATACAAAATATAAAGTTCATCACATTCTATGTACAAATACAAAATATAAAGTTCATCATATTCTATGTACAAATACAAAATATAAAGTGCATCATATTCTATATACAAATACAAAACACAAAATCAATGCATTACATCGTAATACTACGACAACAGGGCTTCCAAAAATCACATTTGGATAGCAACGTCATTCAACCATCATGGATGTATCCATGACAACATAGAGAACAGTTTAAGATGTAGACTTCTCATTGCTCCAACACAAATCATGTCCCGGTTTTTTTTTTGACCTTGTGATTTCAGGTAACTTTGGTAACGCATGACTCATACCGAGACATCCCAAGTGTCAACGAACAACTCAACGTCAAAATAGTTCCCAATACAATACAAAAATCTTTTCGTCCAGGACGATTTATATCAAGTTTGATGTATCCCTTGCATGTAAACGGTCTGCTTGTTCACCTTGAAGAGTGACATAGGAACTAACACCCTGTTGATGAGATAAAGTAACCCATGCATGGCGAACGATATAGTCATCCCGTATATCAACTCAGATTACACCATAAACGCCAAAAATGTAAACTCATCTGAAAAAAATCCATTTACGAAAGGAATTTGGTGAATCTAATTCCGCAAACTTTGACTACAAAGATAAGTTGATACATCTTCTTAAATAATCAGTACAATGCTATTTGCATGTGTGATGTTGGTAAATATAAATCCTGTTGTTAGGAGGGAAATATAAATCCTGTTGTTAGGAGGGAAATATTAATCCTGTTGTAAGGAGGGAAATATAAATCTTGTTGTTAGGAGGGAAATATAAATCCTGTTGTTAGGAGGGAAATATAAATCCTGTTGTTAGGAGGGAAATATAAATCCTGTTGTTAGGGGGAACTATCGACCTTCACTGTTAGTTGCAAACTTGTAGTTAGAATATATTCTGACCTGGTTTTGTATTTCTAATGTTATTTAAGGACACCTGACTCTGCTGTTGGACTAACAGTCCCCATATTGAACGTATAGCTGGAATAAAAGTAAGTATATTCTATTTTCAGTTGGTATTGATGATAGATATCAATGCCAAATGGAACGTGATACCTGTAAGCTCTTATGCTTAAGTCCCACATAAAAGTTAATTTCTACGACAAAGTAAGCATTTAGCTCTAATTGTATCGTGCATGCTTGTTAAATTAATAGAACAGTCATTTTCCATGGAGGGTCCTACGTTACAATTATGACGTCATTATAATGATGACGTCGCCACGTTGGCCACTGCATTGACCCAGAATGCCATCTGATCTTGGTATGGTTTATACTGTCAATGCCATGGAGAGGTAACTATTACTGTTTAATATTTACTATCGTATGGCATTGTCACTACATAACCCTCCCCTCCCTGGGAGATGGATGTTGTAGTCATCGAAAAGCATACACAATAATGCATTATTTGAACTAAATGCTAAATAATAAGTGTAATTGAATTTTCTATTAAATGAACCGATAGTTACAATGTCATAACGTTATTTGAACGAGATGTATATGAATTCTTTGCTATGTTTTTACATGGGTTACAAAACTTTAGACATGGATTTTTATTATTTTAAACATTTGTATAACTAATGAGCCCGTATTGGACGAAATGGCCGTATGGTACAGTAAACATGTGTACGGTGTTTGACTCTCTGCATCAACTTATTATTGTGGTTTTTTTTTTAATAATTGCTCCCTTACTTCCCTTTGTAATTAATATTTCTTTTTTCAATCCGAGCCTGTCGTTATTTTTTCCCCCGACATTTCTCATCTCCGTTTTATATTCCTTCATACGACACGCCCGCCCACCTCTTGATTTATTTGTTACCTAACATATCACACTGTTCGTATAATAACCAATCAAACACACGTTACAGAGTTGTCGTTACTGATCGATAGAACGTGTTGGTGAGGTCACGCGAGTTCACAGAATTAACCCAGTGTCCATGTACTGACCTAGTGGTCAAACGGCTGGACAATTAACCTGTCAATCAGTGGTCAGCTCATAGTGGACATACTACTCGCTGTTACGGCTGGAACACATTACTCTAACACTACTCTACTATATACTATACTGTCCAACCCGTCAGTACGTACCGACGTAAGAGTGACAACCGGTCACACTTTTCTTTCATTCCTTATACATGACTTATTCATCGCTAGACTTCGATACACGCTCAAACTTCTTTTTACCTCTAGTTCCAACCTTATTCCCTACACCGAATCAAAAAGGTTCAACGCTTTCCAAGACTTTTCATAATTTCTAATAAAAAAAAATTCTACGAGTATTGTTGATAATATCTAGCTTTGTAATGAAAAGTCAACTCCTAGCGAACAGTCTTTTTTTTTATAAATTCCATAACATAATATGATCCATTCTAATGATAGCGTTTGTTTCAATAGCACACCTATTAAATTTCGAAAGCAAACCTACCGTTGAAGTATAACATCATAGTAGTTCAATGCTATAGCAAATTTTACGAAATACCGTTAAGGTTTTAACTTCGAAAGGATCGTCAATTATTTAAGGTAGATATTAACTCTATCTAACACGCCATACTTACTAATACATACATACTATTGATAGCGTATAATTGATCCGAAGGTAGTTTTAGAAAATAACCGACAGGTCAGTCACCGTCTTAATAAATGATATCGCATAACGTAGGAAGTTCAGTTAACCTTTTTATTGGAACTGAGATCAGTTTCGGTATACATCAGTGACATTTCGTCTCAGCAAATGCCCGACCTTAACAATTTACGGTGTTTTCGAGTTTACGAACAATGTAAGTAGTTCATTGTTCGTGCTATAGTTATGAACAACGCACCGATGGAAAGACGATGATGTAAGCTTTCAATAATGAGATTGCTTTAAAAATATATACGGAAAACGAGCAATTTTCATAGACCTCATGCATTTTTTCTCGTGGCAAACTTGTTTCCTTGTTAATATATAATATTTGACTAGATTTTTCGTAGGAAACTTGACAATCTGTATGTGTTAGTCAATGGTATATTTGTAATTGGTACAATAATAGGGATCCTAAGCGATATTCGATGAAAGGAATATTACAACTGAAAACGTGTCTCTGCTAACAGTCGAACCAATGTCCCTTGCTCATCACTTGTGAATAGCAGTACCCATTACATATAGTAGACATAAACCTCATGATTAATCTATGGATAAGACAAATACATCAATGATATGTCAATTGTGAAGCCAAGAAGTGTCCGTTTCTTCAAAAAAGAAACCTTTGCTGTCTTTATTTACACTTCAACAATCCATGTTTGTTAGAACTTCTATAATATGCCTTATCAGAGTTCATGGGAATTTCTGTTTTTTGCTTACCATAAATCATGTAAAAATTGTAACACCCTACAAAGAACAAATATTTCTACTCATTTCGTAATACTTATCTTCCTATTGGAATAATAATTGTATCACAAATAAACCTTGACATCAAACTAATTGCAACAGAACATTTATATTTTATTATTTTTTTTTTTATTTTTTTTTTAAATATTTGTTTTCACAATTATGTATATGTTTATTTTATTAGGAGAATATTAAGATATCTAGCATGGATATCCCTGTTAGGATTAAAAAAGAAGTTACAAGAATGATACATTTTAACATATTTGAACCCTTTTGTAACTCTGTGCAAGAGAAAATAAAAGCAAAGAAAGACAAACTGAAGTACAAGAAATTGTTATAAAGTTTCATCAGATATACCGACTTGACGAAATACATAAACATGGCATTCAAGGTATCCTTAACTTGGGAACATTTAATTTTGCTGCATTTTTTAAAGATAGAAAATATTATCTTAATAATGATAATTGTTTGTGACTAATTGATTGAAATACCATCATTTAGTTTGGATTGTTTGAACCCTTTAGCGTCTAAACACAACATTATATTTATGAGCCTCCGCATTGGGCCTGCATGGCAGTTTATTGAACTACATGTACCATTTGGCTCAACTTTACTGTATGGTTATTTTCCAAGTTACATTTTCAAAATGACAAAATAATATTCTTTAAAAGTTTATTCAACTATTTTCCTTGTTTGTGAAGCTTGATATAAATATAACTTTGATAAAGATATCTTTAAATATAAGGAAAGCAGTCAGGATGGCAAAAAATCAATGAGCAATGAAAATATTATGCCTATAGTTTTGAACAATGCATGTGTACGGACTTTGTCCAACAACATAACATTTATGGCAGACATGACCATATGGCTTTTTACAGTAAAGGGAATAAAGGCTAATCTGTTTGAAATATAAATTGCTCTCCCTCAATAGTAACAGGATGGTGCGATATAGAATGTGTAGTACAATTGAAACATTAAATTATATTTTATTAGAAACGTAATATTATTCTTTATTAACGATATTATACTCACTTTTATTAAAAATGTTATGCTACCCTTTATTAGATATATAATACTACTCTTTATTTAATAATTTTTAACAGATTTATAATAATCTTTATTAGATATATATAATACTCTTTATAAGATATAGAATAATCTTTATTGGATATGGACTAATCTTTATTGGATATATTATAATCTTTATTATATATATGATAAAACTCTTTATAAGATATATAATACTCTTTATTGGATATATAATATTACTCTTTATTTAAAACTTTTTATCAGATTTATAACACTTTTTATTAGATTATAATACTACTCTTTATCAGATATATAATAACGTTTATTAGATATAAAATAATCTTTATAACATATACAATACACCTTATTGGATATCTAATACTGCTTTTTATAAGATATATTATACTACTTTTTATAAGGGTCAAGGAAGTAAATTTTACATTGTAGACAATATGACGTTGTCAAACTTTTGGAGCAATCCGCTGGAG